ATATATAATCATACATGCACATTGTACACATATTCCTTCTACGTCGTGTTGCTTCTGCTGCATTGTTGCATGCAAGCAACTGTCTGCTGACTTTTCAAATGACTAGCCCCTCCTGTATCTGTTCTATATATGTTTATTGTACCTTTCAAAAGTGAGAGAAGATAAATTCTGATTATGTGTAGATGGAGAGTGAGCGTCTCAGACTAGAATACTATATATTCCAGTCGACAATATATAATACTTCCAGATATACGCCAACTAGTCACGTCAGGTCATCAAAACGCTGAGAATAGCCTGCTCCTACCTTAGTATAATAGATAAAGGTTACAGATCCAATCCGTTCCGATGTTCCTTACTTTCCGTTTTAACCGAGATTTAAAGCCAACTACACTGACCACGCACGAGTCTTTCTTACGCGCAATGTACAGTACGTCTTTCACAATCGCATCGTGCGGCAGCACAATGTCTTGGCTATCGTCTTCATCCTTTGGTGGCATGTTACAAAACGCACTTACTTTCTTTAAATTAGATTATTATCGATGCCTATTCTGAACGGATACAAGGATAAGAACCGTGCATATGGCAATAGCTACGCTCCTACGCTCTGTCCTGGGAGAGTGCGAGCGAGCAGAGCTACAGCAATACGGGAAGGGATGTATCTATTTTTCTTCCCCCTGTGAAGGAACTTATTACCATAACCATACGGACTCCATCAGAACAATAACCCTGGAAACTATATATGGCAATCTATGTAATTTTTACTCCCTCCCTCGTAGTCCAGCTTTTTTATTTATTTTATATTTTAAAAACAAATAAAAAATAAAAAATGTCATACATACATACACGTGTATTTACGTTGAATGTGAACGTTTTTAAACGTTACAACATAGAATCAAAACTCACTGATGAGGGGAAGGAAACTTGAAGAAAAAAACTACGTAAAAACCGGTGGGGGGATGGGGTGTATAAATAGTTTGGGGTCTCACTTGGTTTTAGGTTTTAGGGCTTTGGGATTTTGGGTATAGCGCTAAACAGATACATACGGGTTGGCGTTGTTTGTATGTCTGCGATAACGGTTGCGAGAGGTATGCATTAAAGAGAGGGCTCCATCGACAACGGACGATGAATAGAGATAGAAGTATTCCTGTAGCAAGTGTTAGTAACCTTCAGAATAACTAGATGGCAATACTTTCAACTGGTCTTTCAGCTATCAGCTGCGTTGAGTCCTATTATGGTGCGGTACGCTAATACTCTGAACCACAGGTCCTTCTAGACCCTTTTAGGGGGGTGTTAAAACATATCTTTCGATTTCAAAACTTTTGATTCGAATAACAAGTCTCCAGCATTCAGAGAGGTGCAAGAATTCGATGCCGGACATCCTATGATTGATGTACCCCTGTATAGCCTGTGTGACGTACCTGTCTAAACCCCTACTGTACCTGTATAGCCTCACTGTGGTCTGTGCGCTTAGGGTTTCTAGGGTTTACTGTACGCACATCGACAGGTTTGACTACGTAGTACAGCTTTGAAGAATCAATATAAATATCATCTATGTACAGTTTATCTGTGCTACAGCGATCGTTGGTAGTAGGACATCTCGAGCTGCTATGAATTTCCAAGGACACACTGTTGTTCAAAGAATATTTAATGGCATACGGTATTCAACACGGACCTACAATACGACAAAAAACCTCAAAGATACAGGGTTCTAGAGTGCTAGGGTTCTAGGGTTTGGCAGAAGCGCGAGTGTGAGACCACCTTATGTCTTCGCTGAACTGAAGAGACATGCGGTGACCCACACCTTCCACATATCAGTTACGAGTGCACCCACTACCGCAATAACTGTTGAAAATTAAAAAAATTAGATAGGAAGTGGCTCCACCGGTCACCATGGCAACCGGGCAGGGTAGATAGACACTAAATACATCTTGTTTACTGCTTTTCATTCGCCTACGGCTGTCACTAATTGATAGCGACGCCACCTCATCGCATTGCCGTGCGCATAAGAACAAATCCCACAGCCGCTATAGCCGAGCACACAAGGCCAATCTTCACCACAGTCACCACGTCTATGCCAGAGTCCACATCTGACGCAGGTATATTCAAGTGCCTGGAATGGAAGGTATGGAAGAATACAATTGGTATTAGCAAAGTACCAGGTTGGTTGGTTGGTTGGTTCAGTCAGTCATGTGATTCCTCATAAGGGAAACGAGATGAAGGATCGCAGGACGGCATATATCTCGATTCCCGATGAACTGATAGTACAGTGTGGTGCTATTCTCTGAGTTTTAGGGTTGTAGGGTAAATTCTAAACCTTAGTAACCTTGAGATCAATGTATCTGAATGCTTTGGTGATGTATGCGCTCCCGCAATATACTGACTGACAGAACTAATATGAATCGTAAAGATGTCACGGCAGTCATCACTAAATCCTAAACCCTAAAGAGAAGACATGGCAACCACCACAGTAATTATAGCAAAAGACGACAGAGCAAATGTACAACGCACATGTGTACAGACCGCAATCGTACGATTGATACGCAAAGTTAAACGAATACAGAGCCTCCTATACATTGAACACCCTAAACCCGAAATACCTTGAGACAAAACAAATACACAACAAACACATGCTGATCCAGTGGAGATATGACCAACTGGCTGGCTGTCAGAATCATCACAAGGCGTGAGAAACGAACACCCTAAACCCTAAAACAAAAAACGACACGTGGCTATGAAAGCAACCCACAGAGCACATGCGCAATCAATGCAATGGCAATACGACACTTGCCAAAGCAATGAAAAGGTGAGGCAACACCTGACATCAAATGAAATGGAACGGAGCGAATGAGACATAACACCAATGATAGATACACAATAACTAAATAAGACATCAATGGAAGAGCACGCCAACAAATACAGAAGCAATGATAGCACACAGATATACACAACACAATACCATAGGAGTACTATACCACAACTGCGGTCTAAAAGACAAGACACAACACATACGGATTGATGGCTACAGCGACTAAAGCGGCGCTTGATTCGGAGATGTCGTCATCCAGATGTGATATTTGCACAGGCGGAGGAATGTCCAGCATTTTGGTGTACTCTTCTGGCTGGTATTCACAGTCCTAATCCGTTTGAAAACCCAAAAAATAAAAATGGGGTTAAGATTTCAGGATTTAGGTGCGCCAGTTACTTGCGCCAGTTACTTGAATAGTACAATGCCCAGCATTGGTGTCGAGGCGTTCTACTGGTCGATATTTCAAATCGTATCTTATCCATACACGCACTGGGGTTTATGTAGATGCAATAACAGGAAGTACCTGGTTGACAATCACAGCCAGCCATTTCACGAATAGCGAGCACAGTCGTGGGTGCCAACATGATACAAACTAAAAAACTGGCAAACTAACAAACTATATATATACATATATATATATATATATACATAGACAAATACATATACATATACGTATGCATGTATAT